GTTTCTTCTCAGTATCAAGTTTCTGTAATCCATTTTTGTGTAATTAAGGGTGTGCGTGTTCACCAAGTCATTTATCTTTCAGTATTGAACTGTTTCATCAATTGCCCACATATCCAAACCTACAGCTGAGAGCAGTTTCTCCTACCTCAAAATATATATGACATTATTTCGGTATAATTTTCACTTTGTTTGCTACCTGATGAATGATGTCTTGTGTAATCTGAGGTATGTCAAAAACAGTGAGAAAACATTTACTGGTGTTTGAATCTACATTTTCTTGTTTGGAAAGAAAATGTTTCAAACCTTCCCCAGACCTTTCAATCCCACTTGAGCTATTTTATATAAATGAATCATAAGTGGTGACACTCTTTTCCAGTCAATTTTGCAAGTAAAATCTAGTCCTAGTACTCTCAAAAGCACCTATAATCTCTCACATGAGAAATTCTTAATTGCAGCCAGCTAGTTTCAGTAGATGCCCTGCTTTGTCTAGGAATTTTCTGTGAAAATATATTCATTTGGAGTCTTTATTCTTCTAACTCTGCTTTGAAAATGTGGATCTAAAAGAGCTTTCTGAAAGACTGAGATACCAGTTAACTAGAAAGCAAAGGGATCTTTTTCTCTACTTAAAACAGAAATTAGATTATTTTTTAAAAATTAGTAGCCAATCTTCCTTTTTATGAAGGTTTGAATGCAAAGACAGTCTCATGTCTCATCTGAACAAAAGTGTCTTGTCAATTGTATAAGAATTTCTAGCATTTCAAACTTTTCCATATTTGCAATATAACCTATTGTTTGTCATGGGGTGAAGAAAAACCCAACTAGAAATTGAAACTTCCAACGTTGTTTTGCTCAAAAGCAGTAATATATTTGTAGTTATCAAAGTTACTAATTTCTACTCAATAGCAAATCTGTTTCAGGTGGAAAAGTTAGACACTTTCATGCTCAAACAAGTACGTCCAAAAAAGGGGGCATGAAAATAAAAAATAATTCCTATAAAGTCTCTTGGGTTCTTTCTTTTCATTTAGTGTGCCCTTGCTTCGGACTCTATAGCTGACCAAAGGGAATGAGGTTCCCCTTGAATCTGATTGCAATCTTGGAGGCTGTAAGGGCTTCGGAGCCGAAACCATGGAATATGTTATTTTGTTGAATGGAGCAATTGGTTACAATCTATTTACAATGGCCTTTTATTCTAAATTCACTCGGGTTACTGGAAGCTCCTTCTAAAATGCATTTCTTGTCCACAGCTGCTTGTCAGAGAGAACATACTCTAAATGCACAAAGTTCTTTGGGCATTAAAGGCATGCTAAGCATTTAGTAAGGCATGAAAGGGATTTGGTGAAACTAGGAGGCAGATTGTGCTCCTGGTTATGAAAGTGAAGTGAGGGGGTGCATTGGGGAAGGACAGTCTGAAAATGGTACTGACATTCTCTTGGGTGAAACTGATCCCATTCTGCAAGTTAAATTTTGTGCTCTGTACTGTTCATTACAGACAGTGCTGGTTAAAAGCTCTTTGAGGGAAACTTTCCAATGAATTTAGCAAGTTTAAATCGAGTGCTTAGCTATTTTCCATGTTCAAAACCAAGTGTATTGGTTGTAATGGGGAACCAACTGGTTCTAGGAACTATCCATTTAGTATAACCAGAGGAAGAGGAAAAACTGCATGGGACTGAAGAAGCGAAGGGTAACCGAGGTACTGAGGCTGCCCGTTAGGATTACGGTGTGTGCCATCCCCATCTCCCCTAGGCAGGCAGCTCAGAGGGAGGGCAGAGGCAGCAGAGAGCGTGGTGTGATACGGCTGATTCCGCGAGGTTTCTCAGTGAGCAAGGCAGTTGTAGACAGACTTTGTGCCGGCCTCTGGAGCAGAAGTGGAAACTCTTGAAGCGACGACCCCGTGCCAGGGAGCTGCTGCAGCGGTGCCAGGCATCCCTGCCCTGCGCGTGGAGAACAGCTGTGTGGTACGCGGGGATATGTGGTGGCATTCCCGTGGCTGTGTGCTCCTCTCCAACCACGTTGCCTGAAATGAAGTTTCCCTTTGGTTTTACCTAGCAGCAGGATTCTTCTGATTTTTTTTTTTTTTCCTTCAAAGAAAAGAATAATACTTTTCTGAGACAAACCCCTCAGGAATTACATCAACCATATGAAATATAAATACATTTTCTCTCCCATTGCATAAATGATGGATTAGCTTTTCACTGGAGAAACTGAGAGTAGGATGTAAGGACAATTTGTGTAACTCGCGACGTAGGCTGTGGTGTACTGTTATGAAACATGACACTGTAGGAGATATGATTAATGTGTGATGGACACCCCTTGGTAGATCAGTTCATTAAAGTACATGTCATAACATGAGAGTGCCCTGGTTTGTATTATGTGCAGTGAGCATCTGGACAGAGATAAACTACTACCTGTTGGAGTATTATTTTACCCAGTAATGGGTGAGATTTTTTTTTAAAGTATAATTAATAATACAAGACCTTCTTTGTCGTTTATGGAAGAAAAGCATTTGTCATTTTTCAGGATGAAAAGCAAGAATTTGCGAGTGTAGAAGTGAGGTACCATCCTTTTCTTGAGCAAGATATGACTCTGATTTAGGGAGGAGAATATACAGAGCTGAACGTGAACTTCTTGTCCTCATACAGATTAGCAGCAGATGAGAAGTATGCCGCAGCAGCAATTGTCTCTGTAATAGCTGTGGGATGCATGGAAAATGCCAGTTTGCTTTATGAAGCTAACAGAGTAAAACTGCCTGCTTGGCATGTGCTTCACTGGGCTGGTATTTTGTCACCATTACAAGACACCACTTTTGTAGAGCAAGCGAATACAGTTCTTAAACCAAAAAAGGGAGAACGATTTCCAAATCCCTTAGCTGAAATTTTGTGTATCTGGTGTATCCAGACCCCTGATTCTGAATTGCATTAAGACCCCTCAGGAATTACACCCTGGCAACTGTTCAAGCTCTTGTTGATGCATAAACAGGCACAGTTAGGAAAACAGAGTGGCTGGGATCTGTTTGTCCCTTTTTGGTTGGTGATGAGCTAATTTTATTTTAAAACTCAAGGGTCTTTTCTGCTTGGTGCATGAAGGGACAGAGTGAACTCAGCAGAGCTGAAATTTCCTGAATTATTATAATCAGTAATTTTAGCCCTGGCTCTGGGTTAGGGAAGGATACTAGGTTGGACTAAAGGCGCTGTGACTTTATTCCACTTGCCTGAGACAGACTTTTTTTATTATATTAGTGCAGGGAAAACTTACGAAGTTGGAGGACTCAGTGACCTGTAATTGATGATGTTTCCTGTAATTTTGTCATTGACAGAGTTTATTAGTCATGATTTGGGGAAAATAGGAATTTTTAACTTTTTTTTTTGTATCTAAGTGAACTCTATCAACATTGCATTTATTGTTTGCACAATTACTATCTGGTAACAGATATTAGGGCAAAATATCTAGGAGTAAAATACAGTCCTGGTGTGATTTTCTTTTTCTTTAATGAAGTTGAGTGAGGGGCAGATTTGTTTCCTGTGTACTGAAAGGAAAAAGTAGTTTTGACACAGCTTTGGTGTAGCTTACCTACAGGAGAGCAGAACCAAAAGTTAAGATAATAGGTTTCCAAAGAAAATCTATATTTATGTTAAAACAACATGCTCAAAATAGTTAAATAAAAATTCTGATAAATTGGTAAGCTATTCATTAAATGCGCTTTCCATTATGGAAGCTTACAGTCATTGTGCATAAATACTAAGCTATTTTAAAAAGAAAGCTGACATTGCAAGTTCTCAAAGATAAAATTTGTCTATCAGCTTTTTCACATGAAAATTGGATTTTCATTGAAGGATTTTTGTGTATATGAAAAGCATCTCTTTTAATATTTAATTAAGACACTGGGAAACAAGTTTCTCAATTACTTGCTAAAATGTTTTGCTTTTTATTTACAAGTTATTTTTTCCTACAAAAAGGTAACTTTTTTTAAAAAGGCTTTTGTTTAATTTCTTCATGGAAAATAAGACTTGTTCTGACAAAAGGCCTTTTCCCCCTGCCCTCCTCCCAGCAAAATAAGTCTTTTTCCTTCAAAGCATACATTGTGCTAAAAAATGAAACAATGTCAAAAATGCTGGGGTGTTACTACAACCGCCCCACTGCTCCCTCAAAACATTGAGTGATCTTTTGGAGGAAAAAAACTTGAATTAAAACTGAGGACTGATGCTCATGAAACTTGTCCGTAGGGTTCTGCTGACCTTGGGCAAATTATTAAAATGCCAGTCCTGGGAGATGCATCTGAGGCATTTCACAGATGCTAGGGCCTGTGCTCTTTGTATTCCAGTTTCTCCAGTTTTAAGTGGACCAGCAGCAATCGAACTATCACAGGCATATCAAGGTGCTCTTTTACACAAGCCAGTGAAGACTAAATGATTTCCACTTTCAAATGGACAGAGCCGTGAACTGTAAACTGTTTCCCTAAGCTTTGTTTGCAACACTGAAAGAACCGAAGTGTTTAATAATGAAGAGTAAGCAGTCCCATTTATCCTAGCAATGCCTGTTTTGCTCATCCAAGTGGCTTTTTTTCAGGCTGCTTCGCTTTGAAACACAGCACATCTGAAGGAAAATTGTATCTTGTTTACAAGTACTGCAGCCTGCCAATTACAAGTCCAGTAATAGACATTTCCAGGTAGCAAAGGCTAAGGCATATCTTAACCAATTGGTATTAACTACATGTAGTAGATGAGAAAAGCTGTCATTTATTTAAATAATAATAAAAAAAAATATTTTTAGTGGGAGAGTTTTTCCTCTCCATAGTATATATACAATATATATAAAAAAAAAAAAGGTGACTTGTGCAGCAATTTAATTTTAGCTCAGAGGATTATATGAGCTACACTTTCATTTGATTTTTCACAATGTTTGCTGTGTCATAACCTAGTAGGACCTGTTTGCAAACTGTCCTTTTAAAATGTGTAATGTAATATATGTAACTTCTTAAACATCTCAAGTTGTTTGCAATTTAGGCTTTGGAAACATCTCCCCACGCACACAAGGTGGAAAGATATTCTGTATCATCTATGCCTTATTGGGAATTCCTCTGTTTGGTTTTCTGTTGGCTGGTGTTGGAGATCAACTAGGGACGATTTTTGGAAAAGGAATTGCCAAAGTAGAAGATACCTTTGTTGTGAGTATGCTGACTGCCTCGTTTGTTCTTCATGCTGCTCGTTGTTCTGAAGTTAACAAGTGAAATGAAAAGTCTGAAAAACAGGGTATAGCTCATCACTGAAACCAGATGTCTAGCAAAAGGTAGGAAGAACTTTGCAAAGTCTGAATACGTTACCAACATTGTTAATTGAGAATTGGCTGAAGCCAAACATTTTCTACAATAATTATGGTTGGGAAGAGGAACAAGATCCAAAACATTTTATTTTTGCTTTGCTCTTATACTCCTAAGCTTGCTGTGATGGTTACCTTTAAAGGTTGTCGTCTAGATTGTGGTAGGAAATCACTGACTCGGAGAGATGGAAGAGTAGAGCTGTAGGGGTAACGTGGGCAAATTATTGCTGCTGCTTTGAGTTGATTCACAGAAGACCTTTGGTGTCTGAGCTAAATTCACAAGTCTTAAAATCTCTACTCAGATGCCCTCATACCAGAGGAAATGCTTACAATCTGTAGGCATCTACATTTCCAGATTTACGGGACTGTAGGTGGCTAAAGCTTTGGGCATTCACAGAAGCCGGGCAGCCTAAATGGTACAGAGCCTGTTGGTGCTTCCCTGACATGGGACTCCTCTTTGTGGTCTCCTCACTAGGCTGTAGGATGTATTTGCAGCCTCTTCTGCTGAACTGCTTAGCACAGCCTGGAGGTTCATGCCCTTCATGTTCTTTGGCTACCGATCTTTAATTATTCGTGCAAAGCGGCACAGCTTCAGTAGAGGAAGAGACCTGTCAAACAGACTAGAAGCTTGTGCAGATACTAATAAAGTTGAGTCATAGCCAGTCCTTAACAACCAAATGCTTTGAATTCTAGCAGAGGAACTTCATTTACTTAACTTAGTCTCTGTTTCACACACAGAAAAGTTTATTAAGGTTGTATTTTACTAGTGCAGTTATTAAAAATGTATTTACTGAGATTTTTGAAGCATAGAATAAATGGCATAATGAAACTTAATAAAATTAATTATTTAGGTGTTTTACTAAACTTTAATAAAAGCTTGAAAGCTTTTTAAGAAAAGGCAGGTATTTTTAACTTTGAAACATCAGTTCAAGTCCAGACAAGTTACTGGTAAATAACATCCATTTCTATTGAGATTTGCCTAAAAAAGGCAAGAACATTCCATAGGAACATTTTGTTTTTATCCTTTCTGGTTTTTATCACTGAATTTTATTTTTTGCTTAAAAGTACAAAAGATTTGAGACCAATCTGTGTGTCTCAGCCTGTTGCTCGTAGGGATAATAGTTTTCTTTTTTTTTGTAATGGGCGTATCCCTACAGCAAAAATGCCCCAACATAAAAAGCAGCATCTTGCCCGCTTTTGTCAATCTCTGAATGAAAACACTGATCTATGTGTTGCAGTCTGGAACACTCCCTTGTTCTGTTTACTAGTTCTCCGAAAGAAGAACTGGGAGACGCTGATGGGTCAGAGCAGGGAATTTCATGTTGCCATAACTGAAACTACTACTGTGATTTGGGTTACAAAAGCTGGACTTTGGTCATGCTGACTGTAAAACATAGTTTCCATTGGCACTAAACTTAAATACAAGAAAACATGTATCGTGAACAGTCTGATTTCATTTTTGGTCTCCTTTTGTGAAAGTTTTCAGTTTTGTGCAATCCCTTGCTTGCTTTAAGTTGAACCAACATGCTTTGGATGGATGGAAAACTGCACTGAGAGGAAAATAGTCAAACTGGCAGGGCTCATCAAATGGGACTTTGCAGTGGTCTGTTCTAGCTTTGCTACTGTTAAATTTCATTAATAGTTCACACAACAGATAAAGGACTTTGTTCATTAAATCTACAAATTATCTCAAGATGGGGAGAACTAAAAGTTGGAGGACAGAATTAGAATTCAAAATGATCCTGAAAATTTTGAGAAGCAGTCTGAATGTATAGGATTCAATTCAAGACGGACAAATTCAAAGTACTTTTTGAAGGAATAATAAAATACACAATTACATCTCAGGAAATGGTTGTCTAGGTGCAATTTTGTAGAAATGTTCTGAGGACTCCAGGGGCTCATAAGATAACATGGGTTGGTGTCATACTGCTGTGAAAAAGCATACATCATAGTTAGAAGTATAAATAGGAGTGTAAATAAATAAATAGATAAAGTGTAAGAAAGGATCCTTCCATTCTATTTTGTGATTTTTTTTTATATCTAGTTTTGAGTACAACACCTAATGAAACGTGGATTAGTTGGTTGGAGCCAAGGGATAGCAACGAGAATGGACGGGTGAAGAAAGACTGGAAGAAATGAATTTATTTGGTCTAAAGAATATATGACTGAAAGAAAACACCTGTAAAAGTTTGCTGGAAAGAGCAAAGTAGTAATTTCTTTGTTTGCCTCCTATAAGACCATAAATAATAGACTTAAACTCAAGGAGATGAGATGCAAGTTAAGCCTTAGGAAAACTTTCTGATGACAAGAACAGTTAAGCATGATCACATATTGCCTGGCCAGTAATGTACCTGCAGTGGCTTAGTTGGGTTGTTTTTGTCTTGGGGCAGGTTTGGAAGAGGTGGTGTCTCCCTTCCAGATCTATTTTCTGTGGTTCTGTTTAGCGAGTTGCTTGATTAGAGAGAACTGTATGGTTAAAATTCACCTTTTTAATGCAGTTATTTGTGAATGCACAAAAGTAGAGACATCGCAGGTGCAAGCACTACTTGAAGCTCACTCAAATATCTAGCCCCCACTGAAAAATTTAGCATGATCAGTTGTTAATATTAATGAATGCTACACATGCCACTCACCCAGATCACAAACCTGGCTGCAATGAAGAGTCCAGCCCTGCTCTGGATTTCCTGCTAGCAAGTGTTTCCTAGGGTGGTTATGTTTGCTTTGAAAACCCTTTCAAAATAAAACCCTGCTTTGATTTTCCTGTTTGTTTGAGAATTATGACGCACTGTCCTCTTGAGCAATGTAGCGCTCACGGTGGGTGATAGGCGCTTATGTACAGCGGCACAGTTTTATTAACGATGGGTTTCCTCTCTTTTCCCTTCCCTTTCCAGAAATGGAATGTGAGTCAGACAAAGATTCGCATAATTTCAACAATAATATTCATACTGTTTGGCTGCGTGCTGTTTGTTGCTCTTCCTGCAGTTATATTCAAGCACATAGAAGGCTGGAACACACTAGATGCAATTTACTTTGTGGTTATCACTTTAACTACCATTGGATTTGGTGACTATGTTGCAGGTAAGATTTTCTCATAACTCTCTATCTTATAATATTTTGCACAGTCATATATGTTCTGGATTTTTGTATTATTCTGGGAGAGACACACGTCTGTTGTGGTGCCTCTCTACCCTTTATCATTCTTGCGTCAGTGCACATGAGGGGGCCTGCCCTCATCTTGGATCACGTGGCAGGCTAGAGACAGGAGGTGGGACAGTGAAATGCATGATGCCTGTCTCTGCTTACTCCATTTTTTCTTCTCCTGTACTGTTAAAAGATGCCTTACTTAATTTTTAGGTAGATTTTTTTTCTTACAGATTGAGTGAAGTGCAAGAATTAATACAGTATTTTAGTCTGCTGAATATATTTTTTTCAGCTGGAGTCGCTTAAAATGTCTCACCCTGTGAAGTTATAGCTTTTGTGTGCATCTCTTTCTTTCAAAGTGTTGTTCCAGAGCTCTGTTTCTGCCATTGGGATGCCTCTACTGCTGTTGGATCCTCTTCTGTGCTTTCTTTCTTTCGTTTGCTATGTGTGCATTTGTCCATGTGCATTTTGTAATGTAAGGAGAAGGTTTAGCACAACCCATAGATAACGTGTCCAACTTTTATGGTTCTGGATTGGTTGCAAATAACTTTGACAAACTGAGCGAAAAAAAGCTTGGGCCAGTTCTCTGCGTCAACTTCTTTCTTGAAAAGGTGTTAAAAGTGTTAGACCACTTCTCAGAATAGGATTGAGTAAGTATATGTTGTCTGTGTTGAGGAAGTGTGTTGGTCCAAGTCAGTGATGTGTTGAGATAAGGATTAGAAATTCAGAGCTTTGTGCTCTGAGTCCGAGTCTTGCTTTCTTCAGCCTGATCTCATGCTTCTCCTGATGCAGCACCATCATCTCTCTCTTTCGTGAGATACCTCTCTCCCACCCCTGAACTCTGTGCAAGGGAGAGGTAGCTGAGAAAGGTAGCCGAGAAGGGCAGCAGTGCTGGGCTGCTGTCAGTGAGCTACCCTGCTGGAGGGAGGTGTTTCTAGTAGACATCCACATGGTGTGGGCTCCTCCCGTGTCCCATCTGTAGCCACGGCTGTTGCATGAGTCCAAGTGCACCAAGGTGAGGGTCTCAGGTTGGGTAGCTGCTCCCAGAGACTTGCAGGCCTGCCTGAAGTTTGCCTTGATGGCAGGAATGTGACTGGTCTTGTTGCTGACAAAAGTTTTTCAGGTTGGTGAAGTCCCACAGAGACTTCTGAAGCGTCTGAGCTGTTTGGCATATTCATAAATGATCTGGGTAGAATGGGGGGAAATTTAGTTAGTGTTGAAGATACTAAGTTATGTTTAAAAAATGAAGGCTATGTGAGAAGTTGCCAAAGATTCTTACAAATTATAGAACTGGGCTGTAAAATGGCAAATTAAATTTATTTGGACTTTTACATAGTTTTTTGTGATGTTTCCGTATTTCTTTTGAATGTGTCTCACTGATTTCTCTCTTAAAACATATTGTTTTTCTTATTTCCATTTTTGTCTTCAGGAATTTGTGATTCTGGTCAGATTCTAACTAGAACCAAATAAAAAATTTATGCTGTTTCCAAGCCAAAAGTCTGGATGTTTTAGACTTTTGTTCCTGAGGGCTATGTCTATGTCAGGGAATAAAAATAATAGTGTATAAAGGCCTGGTTATATTTACTGTAAAGCATTATGTGAAATGGCCCACTTGGCTCTAACTAGAACACTGAGTACATTCATCATTACTCTCATTATAAATTTCCACGGATTTTTCTATTTGTAGACCACTTGATATAATAATTTGTTCCTACATCATGTCTGTTTTTTAATTTTACCAGGAAACACTTTCTCTTTCTACAGAATGTCCTTGAATTACATCGTTCTATAGCTTATGGCCTTTTATGGTTCACTTTTTTTTTTTTTATTTTAAAGTTCCACTGTAAATGCGTGAGTCAAAATGTCATGAATGTTTTCTATTTTCTTTTAGAGTAGCATGCACAAGACTTGTATTTGTACTGTAATATGTTATTGACTTAAAGTTTCAGTGTGTGGGAATTGGATTTGTACGTGCAGAGATGACGCTCAAGAGAACAGGGTTAGATGACTATATCTCCATCATAACTGGGAGGTTAACATTGCCACTGGACTGTATTTTGTCAGAGATGAAGTTGACAATATTATCATCTTTGTGTGGTCTAACATACTCAGTTTATGGCAGATGATTTGAAGGATTTTTTCAAAAAGGTCCGTTTGTTTTCTTGTCATGCCAGTACATAATTGTCTAATTAAATACAAATTCTGAAAAACAGCTAAGGTGTTCATTGACTGTGCTTTGCATTGTGGAAGCTTACAGTCATTGGTGTGCATAAATACTAAGCTATTTGTAGAAAACTGACATTGCAAGTTCTCGATAGAGCTGATGATAAAATTTGTCTTAAGGGCTAGGCTTCCTTATTAATTTTGAGGAAGTATGCAGAATCTTTTGCACGCTAACAAATTAGTAAGTTGTCTTTATGATTTTTTAGTTTGCTTGTTTTTCTTTTTAGGTAAGTCATAACTACCATGCAGACACTAAGGGCTGTTGATATTTTTGTGGTAGGCTTCATCTAGAACACTCTCTCCTTGAAGTTTAGGAAAGCTGAGTGCCATAAACAGAGGCAAAACAAGCATGTAGAGTTAAGGCATGTAATGCTGTATAAGGCTGTGGGAGAGGTTGTCATGATAGAATATGGGTGTTGCGTCTGAAACTGTGGCTTTAGAGCATGGCGTTCTTGGTTCTGGTTTGTCACGATGAGGCATGCAGCAGGCAGAATGACGCTTCAGTCCACTTAGTGCCTAGATGGCAATGCGTTTGGAAAAAAACTCACACTGGCATTAATTTATTCCTTTTTCTGTTTTTTTCCTGACCCGAAAGGCATGTTTCTTAAATAATACTTAGAGTGAAAATTACCTTCTTCCACTCAGAATTATAGTCAAATCTAAAGCAGAGCGGTGGGCAATGATACTCCAATTTGCAATTATACTGAAGTGAACTCTTTTAGCAATAAAAATAAAATTGGCAATTCTTGTAGCATATTGGAGGTCTATGGGATATTTCATGATTATTTGTCAGTTTTGGCTCATAAAGTTCCCTCAAAAATCCAAAATTCCTAAATATTTGAAAACTTCCAAATATTCTGGTAATTTTTTTCTAGGAACTATCATCCCAGAGGAAAAAAACCTAAGTTTGCAAGCCCTACCTACAAATGTCATGGTTGTGATAACATGTGTATTGGGGTTAAAAGAAACATTTCTTACAATATCTGTCATTTTTCACTAACATGGAACTCGCTGCTTTCTGGCTCCACTGCAGATAAGAGCTGAAGAGAAGCCCTGAAGAACTTTTAGGAGGTAAAGGAGAGAGTGTTTCTGAATAGCTGTACCAAAAGTGAGCCAACAGAAGAACTTGGGATTCAGTAATGTAATGGTGTTAAAGGCTGTAGTGCAGGTTGTCATATTAGAAATTCTTGTATTCTCCTCCAGAATTTTTTTACAAGTTTATTCTCATTTGAACTGGAGATCAAGTACTCTGTTCCCAGAAACTAGAATGCCAAAACATCCCCTTTTGTACTCAGAATCTCGGATGCTATTTGGAGCCTATGGAAATTTCAGCTGCAGTTTCCACCAGCAAGAGAAGCCGTAAGGCAAACGTAAAAGACTGATCACTCAAGATGCATGCAAGGAGGGAAAAGATGAAGAGCCCTTGTAGTGCATGTTCAAGAAAATATATGAACAGTATTCCAAAAAACAAACTTAATAGTTCTCTGTCTTACAAAATGGTGTGATTTTTCTAATTTTTGGAGGGGTTGAATTTTTTTTTTATTTTTGTAGGGAAATTTTGTAACTGAAGAAAGTTTATTGTTATAGCTTTTCAGAAAAAAAGTAAGAAACTGTAAGAAACATGTATGTAAGAAACATAAGACAGCCTGCACTGTCTTATGAAAATCAGGACATAGTCAAACATCCCTTTTCTTGTTTTCAAGAGAAACCATTGACTTTAATATGACAGAAGAAAATCCAGCCAATATTATGAATATTCTGTGAAAGAGAAAAGAAAGAGATCTTTTCATGTCAAACGTGTCATTTTTTAGTATAATGAAAGATATTATTGGGTACTAAAGTTAGCACTGAGGTACGTGTATATATATCTATAACAAGACAATATATTGTTCGTATGTACAGATAAATTCTTTAACTGCAGTGCAGATTGGAAGGTATTGTCAAATATTTCTAAGGGAGTTAATCTAACAGGTTTCAAGTCAATTAGATGAGATGTCCAAAACTTGACTGAATTAAGTAGAGGTCAGACATATAAGTACTACATCGGTAGTCTGTTTCACAGCGGGGCATAACGATGGTATAAGGTTACGCTGCAATCAGTCCAATTCAACAGATCACAGAATTTTGTGAGTCTCACCTTAAAAATGTATTCTAACTCTTTTGGTTTGTTTGGGGTTTTTTTTTTTTCTTTTTTTTTTTTTTTTCCTTGTTTGAGCTCTGATTTTTAGCTTATTGCTTCTTTACTGTTTTGGTCTGTAATTGAATTTGGTGTATTGCCACTGTAATACAGATATCTGGGTCTCCACTGTATTGCTTGGCCTGAGACCCAGTCTGTAGAGTACTGAGATATTTTAGTCTCATTTAATGTCACCGAACTGGAACGCTTCACCTGGTGGTCACAGCAGCCCAGTTGATCCGCTCTCACTATGTAATATTACTTACCTGGCAGAAAGACCTCAACAGAAAGAAATCGCTGTCATGCCGAGCAAGAGGCGTGTGTCGAGCATCCCGTAAGAGAGCTGTGCGCTCTCCCGCAGGCTTTCTGTCTTTGTTTGGCATTTGGAAGTGCTCTTTGCCACCTCAGGACTTCACGTCCGTAATAGGGGCTGTCTGGTGTGAACCATGCAGCCTGCTTTAAGCTTAAGTCAGCGTGCCGTGTCTTGCTCGATTTCTGTATAAGAGAGCGTGTAAGGAGTATTTTATAGCTGTGCTTTGTATTCTGAAGTAGCTCTCCATTTTCCACTGAGTGGCATCAAGTAACTCCTATGGCCTACTTACATTCTCTTCTAGCAGACAGTGCAATGTTATCTTGTCCCAAGCATGCTGCTTTCCCATGTCTCCGCATAAGCTAGCCTTTCTCCGTCCCTTTTTGCCGTCCTCGGAGGTAATTCCTTTCAAGCTGCAGGGCTGAACCTCTCTATTTCTTTGGAGTGGGACAAATGGCGTTTCTGGATTAAGCCTGTTGGCCGGGTTTGTCCCAACAGGGATGATGGACAGCTACTCGTTATTCTGCAATTAAAACTGTGTTTGGATTTAATCACATTTCCATACCCAGAATAATTTGTACTGCTGATAAAAAATAATAAAGACATTTCCTGGTTTGAAAGGCCAACTTTTGAATAACCCAGAAATTTGTGCTGGTATGGGATTAAGATACTCAACTGCCAATAGTGCTTTCTATTCTCTGCTTCTACTTTTGAAGCGAAAATGCAAACAAAACCAGACAACTTTTCAGAAATAATTGCATGTTTCTATTTTAAGTCATTTAGCTGTAGAAAGAATGGGGAAAAGAGTGGCAACAATAAAGAAAATTATTTACGTAAAATGTACTTGGTTTACGTAAATAAATAAATAAAAAAGACATATATTTGAAAGCCTGATCCTTTACCTGAGAACCAGAATCTGTCCTAATGCACCTCTGAAATCTTCTCTAATGCCATCCTTCACTAAAACACAGAGCTTTTCGCCTCGGTAAGGAATATGTGTTTGGGCCATATAACAACCTATGCCTTCCAAAGTGTTAAAAATCGCAAATAATGTAAAAGTTGTTTGGCAGATGTAAGAATGGTGGCAGCAGCAATACAATAGCCTGTGATGAAGACGGATGGAAAAACTCTTTGATTTCTCATAGATTTCAAGGGACTTTGGACAAAACATCTCTGCAATAAGCTGTGGCTGCTCTTGGTAAAAGATCATATCTGTGAGACTTCTAGTTAAAGAGTAAGCGGACTCCAGTTTGGAGGTATATTCCTTCTTTATTGTGGTTGTAACTATTTCAGGTAGAGGTCAAACAAAGTTGGAAAAAAGTTTTGTCCCTTGGCCCACAAAACTGCTTTTGCCAAACAAACAATAAAATTCAGCTTCTGCCTTCTCAGCATTTTGCCTCCTAAAGGGCTATATAAAATAATCTGCTTTGCAAAAGAAAGATTTGCTTAAAAAAGCATTTTAAGTAAAATTATGCTATGAAAAATCCATGCAAATGCATCATGTTGATATGTGTTTTACAATGTTACCAGTAAAATTATTAGATGAATTATCTCATATACTTCAATACAAATACATTTACCTATACGTACTCATACCCAAATACATTCATACCCATTTATGTGAATTGTAAATCAGTAGTTAATGAATTCCATTTACTTTAAATTCAGTACAGTTGACTTTTGATCATGTTTTCCTACCAGTGAAATCCTATTTAATGACATTCCTGGGTAACTGCATTATAGCACTCTGTTTAAGCATCACAGGAGACAATAGTTATCTCAGGACAAACATCCTTAGGTATGTCTCTCTCTCCCTGGTATTCCATTAAATTGAGACCTCACCCGAGGCGTCCTTGAAATTCAGAAACTCAACAGCTAATAAAGATTTTAGCTGTTAAGCCTTTTCCTAGAGGGTTGTTGACTCCCTTTCTAACTTTAGGAAAGCTGAACTCCTTTGGGCATAGCTAGATGGAGCCATCTCCTGGCCAGACAGTAAAGAAAACTCTTGGTGGAATATGAATGTGTCCTAACTCCTGCCCTGGTAATTAACTTTGCTGTAAACAAATTAGGTATAAACTGCAAAGGAAATGCTCCCTGCAGACTGGCAGAGTAGGTTCCAGCTTCAGTTTATAAACTTAACACACCAAAAATTAGAAACCAGCTGAGTGGATGCTTTATATGATACTTTCTTGTGCATTGTATGAACAGCTGGAAAAGAAGGTGAACCACCAAGTGTGGTTCATTACTAGCTCCTGATAGAGCTAAGGCGTGGTGGTAATCAACCATTTTTTGAATGACAACAAATTTTGGGCAAATCATCCCTAAAATCCTGTTTTACTGGATTGACTTGAGCTGGATGATGTTAACAAATCGCTTCATTTCTGATGTTTTGTTTGTCTTGGGCTGTGACAAACTCAACCCTTTGGTTGGCTGTTTTCTGTTGTAGACAGAGCCCTGTCTTCTCTCTCACTTGTGACTGTGCAGGTGTCGAAGTATATCCGTTTTTGCAATGTGGATTCATCTCTTGGATAGTTGAGTAAACCACTAAAGCTCAACAGATTTTATTGATGAAAAAGCTTATTGACATGAGAATAACAAAATTTCTCTGTATGAGGGCTTCCATACAAAGATAACCATCAGTAAAATTCTTTGTTATTTGCATGTAATCTCTGTGATGATTAGGTAATAACAGCTAGGAAAAAACATTACTCTTCATGAGAGTTAATCTTGTTACTGTAACAAGGTGCTTGATCTTCTGGGGCCAATTTTGCTTTGACTGTTTCAGTACAGGATGCAGATACATAAAGCAACATATTCTGTACCTGTACAGACTACTTTAATGTGCCTGAAAAGGTTTTACTGTTAGAGTCTCTTCAATTCTGGGCAGATACGCACATCAAACTTCTAGTTGCAGCAACCCAAACTAAGAGCCTGATTTTATTTGTCGTAACACAGCTGAATTGCACGTTTAAGGCGTCTGTTTTATTGTACTGCAGGATGTGAAATGTGAGTTATCTTGTGTTGTCAAGAACTCTGGATGAACATAACTTTTTTGTGTGGAAATAAGGCATCTGTTCTCTGTAGCTGTATTGTATCTGAAAGCTCCATTACAGACGTCTCTGAAATTTATCCTTTTTTACTTTAACACTGGAAGGAAGTGACTGGTGCTTACGGCAGTGGGACTCCAAAAAGCTGCCTTCAGCTGATATCTATTTTATCCACCTTTTTTGAGTATGATCAGTTCAGCTCAAGTCCCTGCACCCTGGTTTCCTCGTCTGCAAAATGGAGATGATAATGTTTGCCTACCCAACAGGGACACTTGTTAATGCAGGTGCTGTTCTTCTTACTAGGGCTAAAGGATTCATGTAAGTATTGAGATGTGTTTTAAAGTCCTTGCAAAATCAGATTTCTCAGGGTATGAACACATTAAGTATTCCAGAACAATACTAAAAATTTGCATTGATATTTGGAGCAGGTGCCAAGTCCTTTCATTCAAGCTGTCCTCAATGACTTCTACCTTAAGAATGAGGTATCAGAAGTTGAATCAGTTTGTCTGTGTTCATTTTTTAATTATTATGAATGATTAGCAATCATTGTCTGAAATTTCCATACTCCAAACTGTATTTTCAAGAGTGGATGAATTTAGATCGTTGTTTATTCAAATTCAGCAAAATGTTTTGCTATGAATTTTTGCATGGGTAAGAAAATAGAAGTTGTAAGAAATATAACTGGGGTTTTTTTTTAGGAAAATAATTAATTTAAAAACAGTTTTGCACCTATAGCTATTAAGTCTGCTTTAATTTTAACTGTATTGTTTTTCAGGGGGATCAGATATTGAGTACCTAGATTTTTATAAGCCAGTGGTGTGGTTCTGGATCCTTGTTGGGCTTGCTTATTTTGCAGCTGTCCTCAGCATGATTGGCGACTGGCTAAGAGTCATATCAAAAAAGACAAAGGAAGAGGTAAGAACATTTTGAAAGGGGAAGAAATACTACTTTTTAAAAACTTTGATTAGAAGTCAGGTGAGCTTATAGCTGCTTTTCCTCTTAGGGCATAGGTCAAACCTGTTCGTGTATGAAGTATGTGCTGCAGCTCAAGCTGCAGCAAACTTTGTAGCAGTCTAGTCAAGCATACAGTGATTTTTTACGTGGCTGCATATAAAATTAGATTAAATGTATTATTAAATTAAGAGTATATGCACAATTGCACCTGACTTACATGAAAAAATTCTCTAAAAGGATTATTCTAGACAGGAGAATGTAGTTCTTAATTTTTGAGGCAAAAATCATTCTGCTTTGATTGTTTTTCTATGGGATGCTAATATGTAAAAAAAAAAAATACTAGATCACTAAATAGTTATATTCAAGATACATTTGATCATTTTATAGTGGTAAGAGAATAAATGTTTCATATCATGCAAGGTATTGGAATGAATTATTTAAATACGCCTAGGTGTATTTTACCATAATATCTTCAGTGGCATGCCTAGTTATTTGTAGTCAGGTGCATTGCTTTCAGTTCAAATATATTTTTACTTGTAAATGTGTATTTATCATTTCGATGATGCTACAATATTTTACGTTAAATTTTGTCGTTTAAGAAAATATCCTGGTTTTGAAAATGTTAGAGGATAAATAAAATTTCCTTCGATTGCAGCTAGCACAGTTCAGGTTTTACTAGAAGTTTGAGGGACAAATTAATTTTCTTTTAAGCAACATATTATTTCCCTCTAATTTAACTTCAGTTCCTCTGCACGCATCAGTTCATTTGTGTTACTCAAACATAAAAACTCTTAATTTCTTTTTGATGGAATGAATATGTTGGTTACTGTGCAGTGGCCTACTGCTTACATTGTTTTAAATTATTTTCCCAGCTGTAGGGCACGGCATCAATGCCTAGATGTAATCCTGGCAATCCCTGAGTTTCCCAAAGACCTCGCTGTAAAGGGTAGCTTACACCTATATACCTTCACTCATTACAGACCCTCAGGGTCCCTGCCGCTTTCTGACCAGAGGGCAGCAGTGATGGTGACAGCAGGCAGGAGGACGTGAGCTGGGTGCTTGGGCAGGATTAAGCCCAGTTCGTGAGGCATGTGGGGCGGGCAGCCCATTTCCATTGCCCTTGCTAAGCTCATAGCTCTTTATAGTTAGAGGCGGCATTGTGGCACGTCTGTTGTAAGTACACTTCTACCAGGCATTTCATAAACACTTAACTCTGAAGCAGAGGACAGTATTTATTTGATCAGTTTCCTTTAAGGAGTATCATCTTTTGCCCCTATGCTGTAAATTTGAAAAGATATTTATAACTTTCCTTACACAACGAGCTTTACTAGTGTCCTTCACAGACACGGAGCAGCAGGTATCACACAAGCGTTCCCATTTGCAAGTTCAACAGTTTGCAGGATCACCATTTTGTTTTCTGGAAAAGCACTGAGGGCGTCTTTAACACCCAGCCTGCATGATTTACACTGACTGCAGGGAAACCAATAGATCACTTCAAATGCCATTAACCTGCATGGTTTTTCTTCATGATTTGGAACTTCAGAATTAGGTCGGTCTAGGCCTTTTTTCCCTCTGCACTAGAAAGAAGTAAGAGCTGGGCAAGCACATGTGGTGTTTCCCCTGTGCTCTCTCCTAGTGTCTAACTGTTCTCAACTTGGGGCATTTCCTAAACTGCATTGAGTTTCCCTGGGTTACTTATTTCTGGATTCTTGAAAAAATGTGATATGACTGAGGCACTATGAATTGGGACTACGCAAAAATACCTTGTTCAGGCTCGGTTTTGCTGCATTTCCTCAGACACTGATGACACAGTTTAGTTCTTCACACTAATTCCTAGAATTAATCTGGTCTTTAATCTCACTTTTCTCATACTCTTCTCTCTTATCCAGACAGTAAGATTGCTGGATAAGACGCTATCTTGACTGTATAATTGTACATAGCAGATTGAGGGTTTAATCTTGTTTAGAGTGTCTCATTATCCATATTTTTATAATGATGATAATAGATTAAGAATGTTTGAATTTTATACTACCTCGTTTTTATTTTATACTGAAGCTATTGCAATATAGACTAACTTTGGAAAAGATTTAAAGAAACACGAATTGAACAAACTCGTGGATTCCTTTAACACATTAAATACATTCCTATTTTTATCAGGTAAAACTCCATTTGCCAGGTTATGCAGCACAGTGCTATGCCAAACTTTCTTTTCTCAGGCACCAGGAATGCATGCCCTATTTCATCTTTCCATCCCTTCTCACCTTTGTAGCCTAAACAAGCATATTCATTTTGTCTACAGAAAGGAAAACCTCATTCTTCAGATATATCCAAATTCTCTTGGCTGCTGCAGGTATTCAGGATTTTGCTGTATAAAAGTGTCTCACGTGTGTTAGGTTAGATTAAAGACAGACATAACATAATTGGTACCATTTGTTCAATTAATCATATCTCTGATGTTCAGAAATCTCCCCCCCACTTTTTAACCCACTGCTCAGGCATGTCTGAGAATTCATGACAGAGAGAAAATGTTTTAGCAGTTTAAAAATGCTACCGTTTTAAAAATGATGGAGACCAGTTTGAGAACTAAATTGTGTCATAGCACAAGTTGTGTGCTAGTTAGAAAATAAGAAAAATTATTTCTGTATTCTATCCTAATGATACTTTGTAGGAAGAAAGTTATATAAAGATATTGCATTTTTTTATAAGATTGGCTGTGCTTGAACAGAAGCGTTGTACAAATATTCACTTTACAGATAGCATTTTATGATAAAAACTGCTGCTCTTAGCTCATCCTTACTATCTGCCTAGGAAAATTTGAGTGAAGAAGCTGAGGGAGTTTAGTGGAAATGTAGTCATCAAATCTCCTCTATGCCAGCAGAAGCCAGAGGAGACTCTGAATTTCTTGTATTGTCTGTTTTTTCAGTTAAACCTAAATTTACGATGGTCTGTTCCAGCTTCTATGGATGCAGAACATAGTGGAAGAACCTATCTGGAGTTCAAATAGTAGAAATGAGTGCAATGGAAAAATCCTAGTTCTAAGTATGTTTTTTAACTGTCTTTTAAGGAAACATTCTGTCAGTCCTTGGGGAAATAGCTCATTATACCTAAAGGTAGCCTTTGAAGTTAGAAACAATGTTATATACTGAAATCTACTGCGAGACAGAGGCTATGATAAAATCTATAGGACCATAATTAATGCACTCTGAAAACTGAAACAGTTTAATACATTTCCTGGGCAATATAAGACACTGAAAATCTTCCTTCACAAAACTTAATCACTGTGCGTATCAACACCTACAAGTAAACAAGATTTTGTGTAGGATTTGTATCATACCTTTCATGAAAAAAATAGTAGTAGTCTGCCGTGTTTTAGATACAGGAGGGAGCAGATCATTCCGTAGTGATCAGCTGTGTTGGTTTCAGTGGTCTGAGGCTGAGGGCTGATAGCAGCCAAGTCTAGTGAATTGTACCAGAGTCCAGGATGAAGACAGAGGGATTGCAAGTGTTGAAAAGCCCCTCTCTTTGCTTCCCCTCAACAACCAAAACTATATATCGGCTGAGGTATTTAATATCTCTTTTGATAGGCAGCTGTAATAATCGCCTTTTTGCCTTTTCCTATAGTCTAAAGTAAAAAAATAGTTTATCGTAGCATATTTAGGGTGTATATTGTGAAAGGAAACCTCCATATTCTAGGAAGTGGGCATGCTGATAATGAGTATCACCTAATATCTATAGTCCTGTTCACATTTTTCTTAATGCAGTTGCATTGGTCTTAAAAGCAGTTTACATAAGACTGCAGTAATAATGCATTTCACTGTTTCAACAAAATAAAACATCTATTTTTTTCAGGATGCTACCAGGAAAGTTTGCCATATGCAAGTGGAACTGGGACAAAAAAATCTGATCAGATATGCACTGATCCACAATAATGCTGTATTTTGTTATTAAAATACAGATAACCAGAATGTCTGTCAGTTGCTCAGGTGGCTTTTGTCTCCTGAAATACTCTTGAGAGTTTTGAATGCATCAAATGGGGAGGGAAGTGAAAGACAAGTAAAGACAGAAGTGGGAGTTTTAGGACAGATCTGCTGCTGGAAGCCGTTCATACAGTAAGATAGATGAAGTGTCAGAAAGTCACTGGAACATGCTGTGTGCTGTAATCTTAAGTAGGCGATCTGTCTCTGAAGTTCAGCTTCAGCTGTACTAGCTTGCCTTAAACTCCCTCCTTTTCATTATTCTCTATACTCTGATTACTCAGAGCACTTCTAAAGTCTTCTGATTTTAGTTTCTTTGAAAGGTAAAATTTCACTAGGTTTTTTTTCCTTGTCATATTTTTCTTTTACTTCAGTATGCAGTAGCTTCTGAATTTCAGCGTTTCCAGCAAAAATGCTTACTCAGCCAAGAATCTTAGTTATATGGGCTATAAATTTCAAATTCATGTTTTTAAAATTAAGTGCTTATATCCCTTGGCCTCATGATATTCTTTGTTAAGCTCTAGTCCAGACTCAATTCAAGTCAATGAAGATGGGATTCATCTCCAGTGTAGATATCAATATCTGACATAGTCATCTACATTCCCTTTTGTCGTGGTTTAACCCCAGCCGGCAACTAAGCCCCACACAGCCGCTCGCTCACTCCCCCCTGGTGGGATGTGGGAGAGAATCAGAAGGGTAAAAGTGAGAAAACTTGTGGGTTGAGATAAAGACAGTTTAATAAGTAAAGCAAAAGCCGCGCATGCAAGCAAAGCAAAACAAGGAATTCATTCACTCCTTCCCATCGGCAGGCAGGTCTTCAGCCATCTCCAGGCAAGTAGGGCTCCATCACACGTAACGGTTACTTGGGGAGACAAATGCCATCACTCCGAACATCCCCCCCCCTTCCTTCTTCTTCCCCCCGCTTATATGCTGGGCATGACATCATATGGTATGGAATATCCCTTTGGTCAGTTGGGGTCAGCTGCC